ATCTCCAAATGTAATTCAATTCAAATGCGTACACGTCTAATTACAGAAGGCTCTGAGTGGCCACAATATAAACTGTCAGGCAAATCTAAAGGAAGTTAACCTCCGCTAATTCCACTAGCACTAAACTGTTCTCGGTTTCTAGAGAATCCTATCTAGTCAACACACAGTGATTCCTTCACAAACACTCAGCTAAAATTATTAGTGTCTCTACGGATTACTATTCATTTGAGGTACTTCAGCTGATGTTTTCGTTATCTTCAAGAATTTTCCTTGACATTTTTTTACACTTAGTTTTAGTTAAGTCACGCCATCCCCTGTCACTCCTGACATCCGCTTAAATCACCCGTTTGCACAGGTTTTAAGACTATGTCCCTCCCCTTGACAACTCTGCCACGTACCATGCTCGGTTTCTTTGATCAATCTTTTCACGCTTATAAGATACCCGGTATGCGGTAGGTGTCACAACTTGACCAAGCAGACGAGTGCCATATTGTTCCAAGCAACTAATTCTGGACCCCAGTGACTTCAGCCCTCGATTTTAACTCAACCTCCCAACCAAACTATTTTTACTCAGTGACCCTCCCAGGGTCTTTGTTTTAATTAACCTGTTAGCATTCCGACCTCCCAAGAGTAGGGGGAGACCCTTTTTATGGGTATCTAATTCTTTTCAGTCATCTAAAATTTCTATCTGTTCTCTATTCCAATCCCGAACTTCTAGCTATCAGGGGAACCTAGTGCGTCTATTAGGGGTCAAATTAAATCAAAAAGTCATCTCCAGGGAGCCAAGGGAATTTCCCGTTCGCTCACTCCATTTAGGATACCTAATTTTCATGCCGCGGTCCTATTACTATCAATTTCCTCTGGATCTACTTTTCTTAAGGCTAGTCGAATTGCGATTAGTGTATCTTTTGCTAAGCTAATTTGAACCCAATTTTTACCAAGTCCACTTTGAATTAATTTTACTACTCCAAGATGGCAATGTTAAAGGTTTTCTTTGCAATTTTGGGGTAAAAACACTCAAAATTTAACTCAAGGTTGCCCAGGAATCACTTGGGTTCAGAACCCTATGGGGGTCCTAACTATCAAGTTCCATACTTATCCCATGAATATTTTTTAAGTTAGTTATCCCATTTCTAAGTTCCATTATCACTTTTCCCTGGAATCGGCTTTTTACATCGGAAGGAGTCGCTGGAGGGACTTCGTTCAAAAATATATTTTTTCGGGGTTCAAATTTTATGTCTTTTGGCGCAAAAAATAATTATGCCCTCATTTGCAATAAAGGGGTGTTTTTTCAATGGCTATTAGCTTCCGATCCAAGTGTTGACAATGGTTCAAAGGAGAACACAAGATGTATCTTGCCCTTACCTATCATCCCTCTAAATTTCCCTGCGTTCAATGGGGTCCAAGAAACGACTTCCGGAACTTAGGGATGGGTTTGTTTACTTAGAGTATAAAACCGGAAGTAGGGATTCTAGGAGTCTGGGGTTCCAAACATAAGCTTCCCTCAACAAGGCCTAGAGCATACAAAAATTTGAGCTTAAAACGACTGCTAGTTGGCGAGTTCTGATAGTGCCAATTACACTTCCGGGACCGTTATCACTTGTCCCCCATGGGTCTGAGGGGTCCCGTTTTTCGTATGCACGGGTCAGATCTCTAGTATGACTCCTCTGAGTGTCATAAGGATAGCTTCCTTATTTCCGATTTGGGGGGATCGCCGATTTTCTTTTATAGAAAACAAGTTTATCGAGAAAAGTTTATTTTCTGGCATAGGGGTGACGATATCTTCCAAGCAAGAACTGTTTCGAATTCGACCATTTGTTCTCTGTGCTAATTAACTTAATGACTGATCTATTTTACGCACAGTTTACTATTAGCCTTACCTTACTGCATGCAAGTCCCATGGTAAAATGTTGTACGTTCAGTTCTTATTTTGGCTAAAGGGTCTTAGGATCACCAATCCTACACCCAAAATCAAAATTTTATCAGAAAAGATTGAATGTTTCAAAAAATTGTTGAAACGGAACCGAAACACAGATTGCAACTAAATGTATCATGTTTGATAATGATTTCGTGTAATATAAAAAAAGTATATTTTTTTTATTTAAAAACGTTTTTTTTTCCAGAGATAACACCTTATATGGTGCATGATGAACACTTCAGTTTATTCTACAGCTTTCCTAGTGGTTAAGAAACGTTTGCATGATAATTTTAGCAGTAGAAAAAAAATGTAAGAGCTATCGAAAAAAAATTGTGATCGGAGTCTAACTGTTCATCTTTCAAGCAAACCGTTTATGTATGTGTATGATTGCTCATTATCTTATATAGTAAGCAAACCGATTTTGCTAATAATCCAAAAACTTGCTAAGGATGTAATCTTTTTTTATTTTGGCGAAATTGAGTCTGTCGAAAATAAAATTATAATACGTTTCTTAGTTTTGAAAAACTCAAAGTCAGTTTCAACGCCCACTCATTCTTGATTTCAAAGATACTTAAAGAGCTGATTCAGCGCTAATCAGCTTAGAGTTACATCTGTTAGAGCCTCTGTCATCTACGCCAATATATTCTTTAGCACTGACTCACCGCTGATTTCCTGTTTTGAACCCCTTTTATGGGAGGCAATTTATTAATTCGGAGTCAATAAGTTTGATTGGATGAACTCCAATTTTGCAATCACTTGTATGCATGATTTTTCTACCAGTTAAAAAAACTTTTTCACAGCTTTCGAAAACGTTCATGCTCGGAGTCTAATTAGACATTTTCCATGCAAACCATATAGGAATGTGTGTGATTGCATGTTGCCATCTACAGTAAGCAACCCGGATCTGCAAATAATCCAAACATTCGTCGAAGATGTTATTCCTGATTTGTTGTCAAGGAACTTGAGTCTGTCAAACGTAAACTTTCGTTACTTGGATTTGGATATTTCAAAATAAAGACAAGACGTAAATAAAACAAATACTGATTTATAATTGAAAAAAAAAGCTGCAAATAGTCAACTCAGTGTTGAATGGGCACTGTTAAACCACTTAATTAGCTCTTTTTGAATTATTTGGATTGCTATTGTTGTTTTTCAGTTGTCTGCAGTTATCTTGCATGACTTATTCAACGCTGATTCGGCGCTGAATTTCTCTGGTTTCAAACCAATAATAGGAAACCACCCGAATCCAAGTTTAGGCGTAAGTAATCGATTACAACTGATTATTATGACAATTTTTGGACAATTTTAATGGATTATAATTACCAAAATTAGATGTTTAAAGTATTTATAATTGATTATAATCGTGATTTTTTCCTAGAAATTAAAATATTTTATAATCAACTATAATTGATTATAGTTCATACAAAAAGCCTTTAAAATCAATTATAATCGATTATAATCTCCTATTTTGCCAAAATTTGCCAAACCGAATCAATATTTGAACTATATCTTATGGGTTATTAACTTTGTGTCAATAACAAAATCTCTAAGAGAAAGATCTCTTGTCACACTTTGGTTCATCTGAACACAAAGTTTTACCACGAAACAAAAGTTTCATAGAGATCTTTTCATTTTATCTGAAAGGTTCCCTCGGTAGGTGAAAAATAAATCTTCCGAATCAATCATGAAACTGAATCAGTTTGCTGATGTTTTGAAGGTTAAAAAAGCTTAAGTTTTGCATTATAAAATAATTTTGATGGGGAAGAAAAGAAAAAATCTCAAAAATTTGAATTGATTTGAAAATTTTAAAAACAGATTTCTATTTTTTCACAGGAACCAACGTCTAGGAAAAATATAAAGTATAAGCAAATTGGTGTAACTTCGAAGACAAAATGGGCAAACAAAAGGGATTATGATCTATTATAATCAATTATAATGAATTTGTGTGCAACATTCATGAATTAGAAATCGGACTAAAAACAATGGATTATAATGTATTATAATTGATTTCAATTCTATCGAAAAATAGACGTTTAAAAATCGATTATAGTCGATTAAATGTTTTATAATTGATTAAATTTTGATTTCAAAAAGAGAGGTTATAATCGATATTAATTGATTAAAATCGATTGTTTCTCAATTTTAGTAGGAATGGTACCAAAATTGTGACATAATCGATTATTAACGCTTGAAAATGGATGCGGACAATTACTCTTTTCGAGTCAATAGATTTAGAAATGTATCAAATTATATCGTTTTAAAAATTTAACCGATTATTGGTCAAGATTTCAGTCTTGTATTTTAAATTGTTCCAATGAAAACACCAAAGCGTTATCTGCCAATTCTCAGTATATTGTTCGAAAGAAAACAAAATTCGCAACCACTTGTATGTACAATTATTCTATCAGTTAAAAAAGTTTGCTCGCACCGGCGAACCTGTCGCGAAAGTCTGGAAATGGCTAATTTTTGTCGCGCCGGTCCCGCTGTTTCCTGAGCTGCGCTGGTTGCGCCGTTTCCTGCTTGGTCGCGAAAATCGCGGCTAAGCTTTTCGGTCGCGAAAATCTAGGCATACCATATATGGGTGGCGATGTTTCGGTCGAGCTATCCCCGTTTCGTTCGCGAAATTCGCGACGGACCAATGTGGCTAATTTCGGTCATTACTAATTTCGGCTGCGAATGTTTGGACATGCCAAAAATTTGTCTGGAAAGTCTGGACATGAATCTGGGACCTTGTCTCGTGACTGAACTATTTCTACTAATTGAGCAAAACACTGTAAGAAACATGCAACTAAACTCGGAGCAATATCAAGATGACTTTTCCGATATCGTTTGAGTTCTTTCTCATCCCAATGGAATCACTGACAGCAATTCTTTTCAAAACAGCTGATAGAACAATAAAAATGTATTTTCACAAGGACCATTGTATTCTAAAATCTGTACTTATTGGATGGCTTTTGAAATATAAGAAACTTATTTGGTTTTTAAATATGATGAGCTATATTAAAGCCTTACCGCTACAATTTTTGGTCATTGATTGCTATGCGTTATTTCCAGATTTGTATTGGAGATTGAAAAGCAAAAAAAAAAGATTATCACACTCTTCAAAAGTTTGCTCTGAAAATCAAAAAGTTGTGCTTATAAAATAGCTCATCTTATCAACGCTTTACAATTTCGTTTAAAAAAGGCAAACAGCATGCAACGTAACTTTTCTTTTTTCCATTTTTGCGGATCTATATGGGTCAGTTGGATGCGGCGACCAGCCCAGCGGGACCCTGTCCCAGTGCCTGGCCTGACACGGTGGACTCCAGGGGTTTAAAGCCCAGTTCGTCAATCGGGATCCCGAACGAGCTCAACTTGGCCTCGTAAGTCCGCATGAGGTCGTTGTGTGCCTTACACACTCTCGCCAACTCGTACTGGAGGTCCTTGATGGCGCTGTTCTTGGCGTCCAGAACATCCTCCAATTTACGAGTTACCACGGACAGAGCAGTCGGGTCCAGGTTAGAAGCCGACAACACCTCGTTCAGCTGCGCCTCCTTCTTTTCCAACGTGTCAGCGAGCGCCCCCAGTTTCTTTTCCAGGAGCAGGTTCTTAAAACTGGACTTCTGCTGCACTTCCTGGATGGCCTTCAAAAACTTCTTGTAGAGTTCATCTCTCTCCGTTTGTGTCTTGTCGAACCTCTGCTCTAGTGTCTCATGTTCCCACTTCAAGTTGCGATGCTCCTCCGAGAGTATCTTCAGTCTGGACTTGGTGGAGGCCAGGGCAGTCTTGTCCTTCTCGTAGTTGGCCAGTTGGCGTCTCAGTTCTGCCACCTCCTCCTTGGCCTTGTTGAGTGGCTCGGTGAGGCGCTTGTTCTCCGACTTGATCTCGTTCATCATCTTCTCCTTCTTCTCCGCCTGGTCCTTCATAGTCTCCACCTGTTCCTTGAGGGAGTTGATGAGAGCGAGGTTGTTGAGGGTGATGTCGTTGTAGTAGTTCTTGATGTCGCTGAACGCCTTCTCGTGGTTCTTCATCAGAGTGTTGATCTGGGTGTTCTTCCGCTCCTCTATCTCGTGGATCTCCGTCTTCCTCCGCAACTCCAGCTCGTCCCTCAGATCCCGCATCTTCTTCTCGTACTTGCCCTCTATCTCCCTCACCTGTCGCTCGAAGTCACTCCTCATCTTGGACATGAGCTCGTCATTCTTCAACTGCAGGTCTTTGATCACATCCTCGTGCGACAACTCCTTCTCCTTCAAGTCCACCTGAACACACGACACATTACTACGCCATCGTAGGCAGTGAAACTTAACTTTACGCATTCTATCCAGTTGGAACTAACTCATCTTAATTGTTTCCGCCCTAATTTTTTTTAAACTTCAGCTCTAATTGCACTTAATGAAGTGATAGCACATGCACTATCTATTGTGTACCTTGAGGGACCTGGTGTTCTGGCGCAATTCGTTCTCCGAGTGGCGGTGGTCGTCCTGGGCCAGTTTGATGGCCACTGCCCCGTCCGCCTTCAGCTCACTGATCTTGTTCTGGTGCTCGTAGATCAAATGCTTCACCTGTTCACAACATCACACAACATCACCACTCATAACCTCAAACCATACGCTTCAATAGCCACACACATCAGGAAGTTTGTAACAGTTAATGCTTGACTTTAGGTTTATGTTTCTGTTCCATTGTGGGTACGCATACATATATTATGTTGTGATCTATTGTGATGATGGGAGGGGGAGGGGAGGGGGAGGGGGGACATACCTTCTGCTTGTAGACCTTGATCTCCACCTGGTGTCTCTCCTCCGCATCCTCCATCTCCTTGTCCTTGTTCCTCATCTCCGCCCTGCTCTCGTCCAGCTGTCGCTTCGTGATCTCCCAGAACGTGTTGATCTTGTCACGCTCCAACTAAACACGCAACACACATTTTACTCATTATACTCACTACAACATTAACACGTACACAACTCCCGCATTATATATCTATCATTTATAAACGTTACTATGGAAAAATTTGAGAGAAGAGTGCATATCGACCAGAGTTCAGGAAGCTGTAACTGAAAAAAAAAATGTGATTAAACTTTTCAGTATAAGAGTTTCAGTTAGGCAGAAACCTGCTGAATGCCAACCAAAAAATTCAATAACGATTACAACTATAATAGTTGTCATTTTTTAAAAATGACACCCAGATTTTGTACCCCGGATTCAGAGCTGCACACAACTTCAAATACAAATCTTCATTCATGAGTTTTTGGGAAACTTCATTCTCTAAATTTATCATATGTTTAAACTCATTTTTGAGTAGAAATTGCATATCAAAATCTTTGTTGTAAAAGGTGGGTAAACTGCTGAGTTTTTTCTTCTGTTTTTCAGTTTTCCTCAATTTTTGCATCAGATATTTTAGTTTGAATTTGTTGGTTTACTATGGGAATTACAAACAAACATACGCCATTACAGAATCAGAGGCGCCTGAAAACGGGCTCGAATTCCACGGCATTCTTGCGATAAGATTTCATTTTGTTGTAAATGCAATGATTTTTACAGTAAATGGAATCTTTAGTGCAAACAATTTTTTTATTATGATTATGATTATCAGTCCTGAAACGATAAACTTCATCAAAGTGTTTCAAGCAATTATATTTTTCTGTGCATCCCGGGTTGACCTCCATACATGAAACGCTCGTGATACAATTCCATGCAAGAAAATTGCTCATCAGACATTTCCATAACGGTGTGTATAGAGAAAAAGTTCATAACACCTCTCAGATATATAAAAATCGTATTATTTGTGATATTCACTTGACAATAGAAAACTTAAAACTTCAAAAAGCAGGCAAAATAGTTTTTTTGGCCAGGAAACCTTTTTTCTGATTATTAATTTTTTCAACGACCCTTTATTCGTGAAATTGTGTCTATAGCGTAGCACAGACTGCGTTTTTTTTTACATAAATGAATAAAAAAAGACCATGATTTTGGTGTGAACCCAGATTTAATTTTTAAGCTTTCAGATGACAGAATAAATTGTTTTTTTTTTCCAGTTTACCACCACGCTCAAAAATCACAACAAAAATTTGTCCAAAAGGTTATGAACGATAACTTACATGAAAAACATTGTTTTGATATTTTGTTCATTTGATCGCGCTTACATATTTTTATTACAGTTTTATTGCATCCAAAGTCATTTAAATAGATGTTATCATCAACCTAACTTCAACAAATCAAAGGGGGACTGGAATCAGCCAAATAATTTTTATTTTTCAATTTGTCAAACAGAATTGGCCACATGTTTTCAACTACTAAATTGTTAAATATTTTCTTAAAGTTTGTTGAGCTAAGTAAGGGGCTCACTTTGATATAATTGTGTTTGTGATCGACCGGGTATTTTTGGCGTAATTTTTGATTAACTGAGAAAAACCAAAATGAACAATTTTTGGGGTAAAACTTTGGGCCCGAATTTCGCAAAACAAATTACACCATATTAATTCTGCTAAAATTTTAAGCAAGTTTTTTCTTGATAAGTTTTCACCTAAACTCAAACCAATTTAAAAAAAACGCGTTTTAAGATGTTGGTCTTTAAAAAATTGGTTCTCTATGAATTCGTTTCGAAATTTTACTTATGTATTCCATTTTTCTTTATACAAATAACTTTAAACACTCTGAAACATCGTTTTGATCAAAAAAGTAAGTAATCAAATATAAGGCAGCCTGAGCTATAGTTGTTTTGAGTTTTTTTTCTTAGCATCGCTATTGTCTTAAAGGAAAATTCTTTACAATTTTAAATAACGCAATTTTGTTTAATTTTGTCTTGGCCAGACCATGATTTCGGCTAAATCAAAAATGCCTTAGAATTTATTTCTCGTATTTATCTTTTTGGAGGGCATTTATAATATTTTTGCTAAGTAATTTTGTTGTTCTACTGTATAAAATATTGCAGAAAAAAATATATTTTAAGTCTTTTATACAGAAGAACAACAAGGTTACTTAGCAAAAATATTATAAGAGCCCACCAAAAAGATAAAAACGAGAAAAAAAATGCTTATACATTTTTGATTTAGCCAAAATAATGGTCTCGCTTTGACCAAAACAAAATTGAACAAAATTGCGGTCTTGAAAATTGTTTTAAAATGATACAAAATTTACGCTAAGTTATTTGTACGCGGAATCCACGAAACTTTCGTAAGTGCAACGAACTTACATTTTGGAACATATATAAAGATTTATCTCTGGAATCCCAGAATATAGAGACACAAAATTGTGCGCCTATCCAGTGTGCAGTTTGGCCTCGTAATGAAACGAATTCAAAGTGTTTATTTTAAGCCAGTGTAAAAATAAGAACGGCGTCGAAAAAATGTACACAATTTGATACGAAACGAAACTTTGCAATATATTGAGAGTATTTTATTCCGATATTGAGTAATTTTGGCTCTTTCCCACCGCCCCCCCCCCCTCCCCCCGATATTTGAATTTCAGTTTGGAAAAACACCTGTTAACATTGACACATTTTAATGAACTTTTGCATAGTGATCAAACTAATGTTCCAGTTCCACCCCTCTTGATTTTTTCCTGAAATTCATTACATGAAAGTCTATTTGAATGGAAATTTCATGTTATGAGCTGCATCAAAACGTGTCAGCGTGAATAGTTGGGCAATTTTTTACAACATTTCTAACATGAAAAATTCCGTTTGACCAACTTTTGAACAGCTTTGTTTCGTATGTAGTTTATCGAGGGGGTGGGAAACTGGAAAGGAGCCTGGGAAAGAGCCGAATTTTGAAGTTGTCTAAACGCTCATGGTTGAAGTTTTGTATATGTTTTTCAGTGCAGGACTGAATCCATGTTATGGATTCAGGCTGCAATTTTAATAGTATTTCAAATTAAAATTTATATGTCTTCCAGCTCTATTAGTTATCGACTTTGTAGCTTACCATTTGTATACACAGGTATATGCCTACCCGAAGTTCTTTTATTCAAATTTTATTATTTTTTTGCTTATAGCTTCCTGAACTATGGTCGACATAGACTATTTCCTCAAAACTTTACATTGTAACTTTAATAAATCAATTATATGTAAAACGCTTACTTATTAGCTTTTTTAAAACTTTTTAATCTCATGAAACCCCTCATTAAACCATAAAACTGATGGGTTTTTTTCCGTCCCCCAACCTCACTCAAACATGAATTATATGGTCTAACGAGCGGTCTTACAAGGTTAATAATGCAGACCAAAAATGTTTGTCATTGCCTAATTAGTCTACATGCCATTTTTCATGACAATCGGACAAAGTGAACAGAAACTTCAAATATAAAAATTTACAGGTGGGGGGAGAGGAAAAAGAGCGAACTGATGCTTATATAAAGTGGGAGAAGAGAAAAAAGAGCCAAAGTTTGTTTCTTTTGTAGACATAGGGGCTCTTTTCTATTTTCCCACCCTCTCGTAAAATTTAAAAATAAAGCTGTTGAAAAATTGTTCACACGGCATTTTGCATGTAAGAAATGTTGTGAAAGTTTGCTCACCTGTTCACGCTGACGCGTTTTAATGCAGGTTATAACATGAAAAGTCATTTTAAATAAGTTTTCATATATTAAATTTCCAAAAAAATCAAATGGGGGGAACTGGAAAAGAGCCCAAAATGGTTACTTTTTCACCATGAAAAGTTTCATTTCATTATGTCAAAGTAAAATTAGTTTTCAAAACTTGAATTCAATTGTGGGTGGGGGAGTGGAAAAGAGCCACAGAAACAAATGGTAATAATCAAAAACACGGCAAAAAAAATGATGCACTTGGCTCTTTTTTCACGGCCTAATTAGTCCGCATAGAAGTTTTCATAACAATCGGGAAATTTGAACTATCAAGTGAATGGGAGATGCTTCAATGGGACAAAATTTGATCATTATTTCCTTCAAAATATGAACTGATTTCATTCTTCAAATGAAAAGTGAGAAAAATTTGCCGTGAATACATATTCCGGATCGCATATTTAATTTACTCAATTTCAACCCGCGCTAAATTAAGCGGTAAATTTCCAGATTATCAAAACGAGCATTCAAATTAAGATCAGTTCGCTTAAAATTTCAGTAAAAACCAATTGCAGTCAAAGACGTGAAAATGATGCAAGTAGCTTTGATAGGAATCTCCTTGATTGTCAGCGCTTTTGCTTCTCCGGGTCCGATCTACATCCGACCGGACCAGAAGGACGACCTGGACATGGATCGGGGATTTAAAACATGTATGGCCTGTACTATGGGAATAGGGACGGTCAGCACCGTCGTCGGCTCCGCTGTCAAAATGCTGATGCCGAAAATGTCGGACTACTGCGACAAAGTCTCAAACGAGGACGCTAAAACGATGTGCAAAGAGTTTGCTGATAAAAATGGGGAAGCTTTTGTCGAGGTGATATTGGCTGTGCTCGATCCAAACACCTTCTGCGGAGCTGTAGGAGCTTGTTGATAAAGGGAATACAAAACTGCAATTAAAACAACTTTGAACGTTTTGAATTTCAACAACCAAGCAAATTTATATTTCAAATACTATTTTCCAAAAAGATTTGAATTCCTTTGAGAACGTTTCGACTCTTTTCCACCAACCCCTGATGGTGGGAAGAAGGAAAAAAGCGAGGTGGGAGATGTGAGGTGCGAGGACGGGGGGAGAAGAGTTCCAACTTGGATATTCGAAAAAAAGGTATTGATGTAAGAAACGTGAGGTAAGAAACAAGAAAATCTCTTCTTGTGAAGAAAGAAAGAGAACCTAGTCTAATTTACGCACCAACTGCTTAAACTATTCTCATATGGAAGATACTTCGGGGAATTGTGTAGCACAGAAATTAACGTCCGAGAGTCTACGATCGAGATATTTTGTGTTCGAATCTATATCGGTAGGGCTGATTGGTGTAGAGTAGTTGAAGCCCTGCGCTTGAAACGCCCAAGTGACCCTCTATATGCCTAAATCCTAACAGCTTCCTATTTGCGGAATGAAGAGCTCAGTCATACCCGCCCTTACAAATCAAGAGACTACGGGGTTCAAGGTCAAGAGATCGAGGGGCAACTGCTCCACATGCAACAACATTTTTAACAACACAAACAGGGTTTCCTGTTTTATTTGCCCACCTCATCAATTAATTTTATGGTGTAACGAGGGGTTTTACAAGTTTAAAGATGAAGACTAAATATGTTTTTCTTGGGCTCTTTTTTTAAATTATGAACACCAAATATGTGAACTGTAACAATACTAGTAAAAAAATTGACCCCCCACCTCATATAAGCATCGATTTTATGGTGTAACGCGTGGTTTTACAAGATTAATTATGATGACCAAATATGTTTGTCATGTCCTAATCAGTCCGTATGCCTGATAATTTATTTTGTAACAACCTGACATTTTGAACGAAAATTTGAACAGAAAAGTTACTCTAAAAATTTAGCAGGTGGGGGAAAAGAAAAAGAGCCTTAGTTTTTTTCTGCATGCCCCTTATAACCTATTAGGGCTATTTTTCCCTTTTCCCCACGTCACAAAAGCATCAATTTTACGGTGTAACGAGGGGTTTTACAGAGTTAGTTATGGAGACCAAATATGTTTTTCATGGCCTAATCAGATCGCATGCCAATTTCAGTAACATTCGTATCACGTGAACAAAATTTCAGCGATGAAATTTTTCAGGTGGGAGGAGGGGGGGAAGCCCATAATAGTTAAGTGCTTACAACATATACTGGAGACAGAAAATAATGCAATCAAACAGTTTGTAGGATTTTTTGAATTTCCCGGATAATTTTATTCACTAGTAAGCAAAACAAAGTTAAGACTTCTTCTGAAAAGTCCACCGCACCCTCAAAGCGCACAAACACTCAAAAAACTTGGTTTGGTCGTGTAATGAAACAATAAGAGTCCAACTAGTCGAAAAAATGTAGGGCGAACCTATTCAGCTCAAAAAAGGAAAATAAAAAAGCGTAAAAAAAATCAAAAATATTTTAAAATTAACCAGAAGTTATGAAGTCCCTCTCAACCTCAAACACAGTCAGGCACATAAAACACAATTTTTTCTCGTCGATAGACAGTATGAGGCAAATGAGCCAATATAATATATGTCGAAATCTATCAAGCCAAAAAAAGAAAAAAAAACATGCCAGAATAAAAAGTTATCATGAAAAACTTGAGCTCTAATTCTATTCAGTTTTTAAATTTTTGGAGCACTCCAGAGTTGAACATAAAACATACGTTGCCGTTAAAACGCCTGAAAACAAGTTCACTAAGCCATGAAAAAAAAATTAAGCCGAATTCAGTTGGGCAGAAAAAAGTTTTTGACTCTTTTCCAGTTTTCCACCCCCCCTGGTAAAATTACAAAATTATGCGACTCAAAAATCAAAGGGGGGACTGGAAAAAAGCCAAGTTTTAAACAGAAAAAAACGGAGTCAATTTTAGTAGAATTACAGGCTGCAGAAATCGTTTGAAAAAAAAACAGATTCTGTCAGATTATCACCCATGACCTTTAGCATCTCAGGTGTGTTTGTTACCTCCAGACTAAGTGTGCCGAATACGCTTAGAAACTTGAATTCATTATGAACTAAGGTACCAATTGATTCGAGTGATTCTGTTAACCCAAAAAAATTTCTACATTCCAAATTAATACCGCTTGCTAATCGCAAGCATAATCAATAAATCAATGAAGAAACTATTTGGTGCACAAAGTGAAACGCAAAAAACAGTAGAAAACAGAAGAAAAAAGCTCCATAGCTACAATTGACAGCTTTTTTATTGAATTTTTACTCAAAATGAGTTGCACTAACTGGTAGTTTGGTAAAATGAAACTGTTTGTTGAAGTTTTGTATATGATTTTCAGTACAGGCCTGAATCCATGTTTAAAAAAATTGGTTTCAGGCTGCAATTTAAGGCTCTTTTTCCTCCCCCCCCCCCACCTCACACGAGCATCAATTTTATGATCTAACGAGTGATTTTAAAAGGTTTATTATGAAGACCAAACATGTTTGTCAGGGCCTAATTAGTCTGCATGTCAATTTTCACGACAATAGGAGAAAGTGAACACTTGTTTTACTTTGCAGGTGGGGGAAAAAGAAAAAGAGCCCAATTTAAATAGTATTTTAAAATAAAATTTAAATGTCTTCCAGCTCTAATAGTTATCGACCTTGTAGGTTACCATTTGTATGCACAGGTATATGCCTACCCGAAGTTCTTTAACTCAAATTATTATTCTTATTTTTTTGTTTATAGCTTCCTAAACTATGGTCGACATACACTCTTTCCTCAAAATTTTACATTATAAGTTTAATAAATTAATTATATGTAAAAAGCTTACGTTTTAGCTTTTTTTTAAAACTTTTTAATCTCATAAAACTCCTGTAAGGAGCCGACATAATTATTCATACCCTATCACTTAGATTTTTATCAGAGTTAATGTGGGGAAATTTTTTCTCCAAAATTCTCAACCAACATTTTACCCCAAAAATAAGTCATTTTGGCTTTGAATCTTTTCAATTTATCAAAAATTACGCTGAAACTATTTTTTTAATTGATGCAAAATATATATCACAAGAAGCCTGGGCTCTTTTTCCTTTTCCCCCCACCTGCAAAATTTTTAGAGTCATTTTTCTGTTCAAATTGTCGGATTGATACAAAATTTGGCATACGGACTGATTAGGACATGACAAACATATTTGGTCTTCATAATTAACCTTGTAAAACCACGCGTTACACCATAAAATCGATCCATATGTGAGGTGAGGGGGAAAAGGAAAAAGAGCCGAAGCCTGTGTAAAAAGCTTCTTGTGATATATATTTCTCATCAATTAACAAAATAGTTTCAGCGTAATTTTTGATTAATTGAAAAAGCTTCTCACACAGCTCAACAAAATCTTTGCTTAAAAACAAATCTTAAACAATATACTCAAATTTTTGGATATTTGACCCTTCTAAAATTTTGTTGGGCTGTGTAAGAAGCTTTTTGTGATATATATTTCTCATCAATTAACAAAAAAGTTTCAGCGTAATTTTTCAATTAATTGAAAAAAGCCAAAATGGGCTTTTTTCCAGTTCCCCCCTTTCAAATTTAATTTTGAAAAGTCTATTTAACGTTGTCATAACGCAATGAAATATAGCGTGGTGAACAAATTGACAATTCTGAACAGATTTTGTTCTTCATACTTTACAGCGTAACATCACGCATTTAGCCGTCAAAACACGTAAAACAAACACAAAACTCGGTAATTTGAAAGGGGGGAACTGAAAAAGTACCCCAAAATGACCCCTTTTTTGGGGTAAAATGTTGGCTGAGAATTTCGGAGAAAAAATTCCTCCTCACTAATTCTGATGAAATTCTAAGAAAATTTTGTTCTTTTCACTTTTTGTCTAATCTTAACCCAAATTGAGAAAAACTATTTTGAAAATTCAAGTTTTGTTCATTTTGTCCGGATCATTTAAATCAGCACTGTATTGCCCCCCTCTTTAAAAGTACAAGAAGAACAGCCGCCCCTTGTGAGATATGAGGATGGATAGTGGATAGCTCAAGGGGGTTTTGATGGGTGGTGTGGTGTGAGTGTTACCTGGAAGTAGTTCCTCTCCTCCCTCTCCCGGTCCATCTCCTCCCGCATGCGCACCACCGCCTCCTCCAACTGCTGGGGGGTCATGTCCTGGGTCGCTATCCCATCTATCACAGTCGGACCCCCGCCTGCGCCCGCCCCCTTGCCCCCCTTGGCACTCTTCTTCTTGCCACCCCCACTCTTCTTCCCCTTCTTCCCCTTCTTCCCAGGCATCGCTCACCAACTACTAGGAGTTAGTAGTAGTTGTAACTAACAAGTGTATAATAATTAAAACAGAAGGCGCCAAATCCAAGTTTCAAATGTGAAATCAAAAAAATATTGTCGTTGATTAAGGAATCGTATTTTTTCGATTAATATAGGCGACAGTGCGCAGTATTTTTTGTCTCAATTATCAGCGTACTTTAAAATACTATCGTATGTTTCAACTGACTAGAATGTGGCATGCAATGCTCTCTTTACTTCTTAAACGCAGGTGTTTGCGTGTGTGTTTCAGACGCACGTTTTTATTTTTATCATACGAGAATATTTTTGATCTGGTTTTTGTGGTTATTGAAAACAAACACGTGCGATAAAAACAATGAGACAAAACAATTGGCAAGACACTTTGCTCTTATGAGGAATTGGGCTCTTTTCCCTTCTGTACCCTCCACTTCACACGAGCATCAAATCAATTGTTACGAGTGCTTTTAAAGTCAGTTCCAGTGTGAAAAGATTTTCCCAATTTAACCTCGCACCAGTAAAATTTAAAAGCCCTGAACAGCAGATTAGGTTTTGCTTCAATTTTAAGGCTATTACATTGTTTCCTCCAATTTTTGCTCACAATATGTTTGTTCCGACCATTTGAAATAACTAGAGAAATTTGTAATCGGGTGCGTTTAAGTTTTTATTAATTTTTTTTTTTGCTGTGCAAAATCAAGTACCGCAATTAGTCATCGGATTGGGTCGAGTGACATATCAAGTCAGTTCAGTCGCAAAATGAACGACATTAAAAGTTGTTGAAAAATTTCTCTCAGTGTCGAGAAAAACTGGATGGAAATTTTTGATTTTTGGTCTAATTTCGACATAATAAGGTAAGAGTACAGGCTTATGGTAGCCTATTTATGCTTAGATTAAGCAGTTTTACTCAATTTAAAATAATTGTTGGAGTTTTTAGAGCCATTTTGGTAATCAAAATCTTCAAAAATTTAAGAAACTTTGGCAAAAAAAAGTAGAAAAATTTTTGTGAAATTTTTAAAAATTGTTCTTACATTTTTTTCGTTTTTTTTAGTCGTTTTTCTAGAAACCTTGATTTCCAATAGACCTTTGTGAATATGGCTGTCTCATTTGCCTAATTTCTAATTTTTTGTTCACATTTTTTATCGCACCACACAGAAAAAACGACAGTTATTTGATTTGAATAAACTTTTTATTTTTTCAAATTTTTCAAGACTATAGTCGGAACATTCTGAGCTATTTGCACAGTAAGCAGCTATGCTTGTTTCAATTGCCATTGCTCGACCACTGTTCTGACGCTTTTGTAAAGTTGAATTGTGAGACTTGTTCATACGGCAATTTGCATAAAAGAGTTTTTGTATAAATCTATTCGAAAGTTCACGATGACACGTTATATTGCAGCGTAGAACATCAAAAATCAATTTAAACAGAGTTTTGTCTAAATCAAATTTCGGAAACTGAAGCGGGAGCTGCAAAAGGGCCACGCTTCGTCTTCAAGTGTGTTTCAGTTTCTTTTTTTTGTTTTCCCTGCAAAATCAGCTACTACAGTTAAGCATTGGAATGGGTCGAGTGATACATCATATAAAAGCCCTCTTAGGCGTAATTGGAACAATATTAGGAAAATCTGTAGTTTTTGTGAAACAAGGCGAAACATTGTGTGCTACTTTTAGATCAACCGGCTATCCTTGATAGAAATTGGGGAAGGGTTGAAAGCTCGAGCTCATTGTGGCTCGCATCTCATATCCCGCTTGTATCTTTGGTCACTTCATAATTTTTCGGTTCGTGTATAATTGCAACTTTGAGTTTTATGCTCTCGAACGCCCTTTATGCTCTCGAACTTTGAGTTTTATGCTCTCGAACTTTGAGTTTTATGCTCTCGAACTTTGAGTTTTATGCTCTCGAACGCCCTTTATGCTCTCGAACTTTGAGTTTTATGCTCTCGAACGCCCTTTATGCTCTCGAACTTTGAGTTTTATGCTCTCGAACGCCCTTTATGCTCTCGAACTTTGAGTTTTATGCTCTCGAACTTTGAGTTTTATGCTCTCGAACGCCCTTTATGCTCTCGAACTTTGAGTTTTATGCTCTCGAACTTTGAGTTTTATGCTCTCGAACTTTGAGTTTTATGCTCTCGAACTTTGAGTTTTATGCTCTCGAACTTTGAGTTTTATGCTCTCGAACTTTGAGTTTTATGCTCTCGAACGCCCTTTATGCTCTCGAACTTTGAGTTTTATGCTCTCGAACGCCCTTTATGCTCTCGAACTTTGAGTTTTATGCTCTCGAACGCCCTTTATGCTCTCGAACTTTGAGTTTTATGCTCTCGAACTTTGAGTTTTTTGCTCTCGAACGCCCTTTATGCTCTCGAACTTTGAGTTTTATGCTCTCGAACTTTGAGTTTTATGCTCTCGAACTTTGAGTTTTATGCTCTCGAACTTTGAGTTTTATGCTCTCGAACGCCCTTTATGCTCTCGAACTTTGAGTTTTATGCTCTCGAACTTTGAGTTTTATGCTCTCGAACTTTGAGTTTTATGCTCTCGAACTTTGAGTTTTATGCTCTCGAACGCCCTTTATGCTCTCGAACTTTGAGTTTTATGCTCTCGAACTTTGAGTTTTATGCTCTCGAACTTTGAGTTTTATGCTCTCGAACGCCCTTTATGCTCTCGAACTTTGAGTTTTATGCTCTCGAACGCCCTTTATGCTCTCGAACTTTGAGTTTTATGCTCTCGAACTTTGAGTTTTATGCTCTCGAACTTTGAGTTTTATGCTCTCGAACTTTGAGTTTTATGCTCTCGAACGCCCTTTATGCTCTCGAACTTTGAGTTTTATGCTCTCGAACTTTGAGTTTTATGCTCTCGAACTTTGAGTTTTATGCTCTCGAACGCCCTTTATGCTCTCGAACTTTGAGTTTTATGCTCTCGAACGCCCTTTATGCTCTCGAACTTTGAGTTTTATGCTCTCGAACTTTGAGTTTTATGCTCTCGAACTTTGAGTTTTATGCTCTCGAACTTTGAGTTTTATGCTCTCGAACGCCCTTTATGCTCTCGAACTTTGAGTTTTATGCTCTCGAACTTTGAGTTTTATGCTCTCGAACTTTGAGTTTTATGCTCTCGAACTTTGAGTTTTATGCTCTCGAACGCCCTTTATGCTCTCGAACTTTGAGTTTTATGCTCTCGAACTTTGAGTTTTATGCTCTCGAACTTTGAGTTTTATGCTCTCGAACTTTGAGTTTTATGCTCTCGAACTTTGAGTTTTATGCTCTCGAACTTTGAGTTTTATGCTCTCGAACGCCCTTTATGCTCTCGAACTTTGAGTTTTATGCTCTCGAACTTTGAGTTTTATGCTCTCGAACTTTGAGTTTTATGCTCTCGAACTTTGAGTTTTATGCTCTCGAACGCCCTTTATGCTCTCGAACTTTGAGTTTTATGCTCTCGAACTTTGAGTTTTATGCTCTCGAACTTTGAGTTTTATGCTCTCGAACTTTGAGTTTTATGCTCTCGAACGCCCTTTATGCTCTCGAACTTTGAGTTTTATGCTCTCGAACGCCCTTTATGCTCTCGAACTTTGAGTTTTATGCTCTCGAACTTTGAGTTTTATGCTCTCGAACTTTGAGTTTTATGCTCTCGAACGCCCTTTATGCTCTCGAACTTTGAGTTTTATGCTCTCGAACTTTGAGTTTTATGCTCTCGAACTTTGAGTTTTATGCTCTCGAACGCCCTTTATGCTCTCGAACTTTGAGTTTTATGCTCTCGAACGCCCTTTATGCTCTCGAACTTTGAGTTTTATGCTCTCGAACTTTGAGTTTTATGCTCTCGAACTTTGAGTTTTATGCTCTCGAACTTTGAGTTTTATGCTCTCGAACGCCCTTTATGCTCTCGAACTTTGAGTTTTATGCTCTCGAACTTTGAGTTTTATGCTCTCGAACTTTGAGTTTTATGCTCTCGAACGCCCTTTATGCTCTCGAACTTTGAGTTTTATGCTCTCGAACGCCCTTTATGCTCTCGAACTTTGAGTTTTATGCTCTCGAACTTTGAGTTTTATGCTCTCGAACTTTGAGTTTTATGCTCTCGAACGCCCTTTATGCTCTCGAACTTTGAGTTTTATGCTCTCGAACTTTGAGTTTTATGCTCTCGAACGCCCTTTATGCTCTCGAACTTTGAGTTTTATGCTCTCGAACTTTGAGTTTTATGCTCTCGAACTTTGAGTTTTATGCTCTCGAACGCCCTTTATGCTCTCGAACTTTGAGTTTTATGCTCTCGAACTTTGAGTTTTATGCTCTCGAACTTTGAGTTTTATGCTCTCGAACTTTGAGTTTTATGCTCTCGAACGCCCTTTATGCTCTCGAACTTTGAGTTTTATGCTCTCGAACGCCCTTTATGCTCTCGAACTTTGAGTTTTATGCTCTCGAACTTTGAGTTTTATGCTCTCGAACTTTGAGTTTTATGCTCTCGAACGCCCTTTATGCTCTCGAACTTTGAGTTTTATGCTCTCGAACTTTGAGTTTTATGCTCTCGAACTTTGAGTTTTATGCTCTCGAACTTTGAGTTTTATGCTCTCGAACTTTGAGTTTTATGCTCTCGAACTTTGAGTTTTATGCTCTCGAACGCCCTTTATGCTCTCGAACTTTGAGTTTTATGCTCTCGAACTTTGAGTTTTATGCTCTCGAACTTTGAGTTTTATGCTCTCGAACTTTGAGTTTTATGCTCTCGAACGCCCTTTATGCTCTCGAACTTTGAGTTTTATGCTCTCGAACTTTGAGTTTTATGCTCTCGAACTTTGAGTTTTATGCTCTCGAACTTTGAGTTTTATGCTCTCGAACGCCCTTTATGCTCTCGAACTTTGAGTTTTATGCTCTCGAACGCCCTTTATGCTCTCGAACTTTGAGTTTTATGCTCTCGAACTTTGAGTTTTATGCTCTCGAACTTTGAGTTTTATGCTCTCGAACTTTGAGTTTTATGCTCTCGAACGCCCTTTATGCTCTCGAACTTTGAGTTTTATGCTCTCGAACTTTGAGTTTTATGCTCTCGAACTTTGAGTTTTATGCTCTCGAACTTTGAGTTTTATGCTCTCGAACTTTGAGTTTTATGCTCTCGAACTTTGAGTTTTATGCTCTCGAACTTTGAGTTTTATGCTCTCGAACTTTGAGTTTTATGCTCTCGAACGCCCTTTATGCTCTCGAACTTTGAGTTTTATGCTCTCGAACTTTGAGTTTTATGCTCTCGAACTTTGAGTTTTATGCTCTCGAACTTTGAGTTTTATGCTCTCGAACGCCCTTTATGCTCTCGAACTTTGAGTTTTATGCTCTCGAA